AATCAAAATTATATGCTCATTGAATATATGATCAATGAGACAGCAGCCCCAAAACTAAGTAAAACCAAAAAAGAAAGCTTTTTATAGGTGTTCTCGTTCATTAACTTTTAATCATATTGTAAAGAACTACAAAAAAAGAATTTTGAAACCTGTCAATATTTTATCGCATGTTAGAAGGAAATTATAATTTGTCATGATATTAGGATTTATTTACAATAATTGCTAAAGTTTTCATATGAAATTGTGACCAGATGGATAAAGCCATTGACCAAATTAAAGATTCAATATCGTACAAGGACAAGACAGTCAATGGCATTTAATCATAGCATCTTATATCTGGTCACTATGTTGATACAATTACCGAAGATTAATTCAACAATCATCCCACTGTAACAGGGCATCAATTATAAAACTCTCCAAGGATATCATCTTCTGAAATATTTCTTCCATAAGGAACAGCTTTCTCACCTCTGTGAAATATTCTCCGATAGAATGACGAACATTGAATGATATCAGAAACAATGGGCAGAATATAAAGTGTAAGATCAGTCGTAACATCAGATGATATCTAATTTAATGGGATAAATGAAATGGCGTGCAATATTGGTCTTAACACTTTCTAAAGTTTTATCATTTGAGACAGATAAATTTCTTTATTGAAAAGGGGTCAATAAGAGTTGATTAATTTTAGACTATGGAAAAAGAGTTCTATTATTGATTATTTATTCTGGATTTTCTACCAGTGCAGTTATAAGAAATTTCTACACAAAACTAATGAATGTTAGAGTTATTCCCCCCTGAAATAATGAATGTTTTTCTTATTCTACCAAAGTTTTAAAGAAATACTTTAATATCTGTTCAAAATATTCCACAAATTTTCTATCTGAATGTATGTTGATAAAAGAAACACCATTGTTTATGAATACATGTTGATGATAAGTAATAGAAAGCTCATCTTTAAATAAATGTTTATTTAATTTGATATTAGGGTTTCAACTGACATTAAGAGTTTATTTTTACAATTTTATGTAAATTGGAATCCAATTTCCATTAATACTTTCTATCTATATGTGAAATCAGCAAAGATTATTAAGAAGTGTGGCTAGAATTAAGTTTATCTTATCTAAATAACTTAAATGTTTCCTACAGAAGTCAGCACCATATTGTATTTCTGTAGATACAATCTTGTACTGTCATTGCTGTAAGCATATTATTGCTACTGCAATATCTTTATAGTTCTATAAATGTTTTATACATACAATAAATTTTATTCTGATATGAGGCTCATGTGTTCTTTTTATTGCAATGTTGAAATTTTTGTTTCATCTTGATTTTATGTGAATTTTGGTTTTTTACACATCAATTTGAATGAAACATAAAAACTCAGTTCGAGATTCTTATATAAAAAAAAAAAAATGTTAAAAAAAAATTGTTCAATTTGGTTTTCAGAATTTAAATGCCAACTTTTTTACAAACATGATGGTTAGGAAAAAACTAGCAACAATCTAAAAAAAAAAAGAACGTGTGATTGATATATAACAAAATTTCATTTACTTTATCTGAAAAATCTTAAATCTATTCCATAATTACCAAAAAATTAAACTATAAGGTCAAACGTGTTGACACCAAATTTAGAAAGCTGATGGGGAGCTAATGGTCTTATTGTTTGTATGTGGTTTAACCAGAGCTTTCACCAGATTGTCTATGATAAGATTGACACTTTCTAGATATTAACTTGTGATAACGGCAAAACTTTCAATAACAGGAGATATTAAGTACTGATATCACGAATATTTGGTTATTTCAGTTTATAGAAACATGAATGAAATGTGCCACATACTGACAGAGACATATGTAAAATACAAATTTGAAATCGTTTATTTATTTATGAGTTCAGTAAACTTACAATTATAGAAAAAAAATAGGACTGGCTTCAAATTTAAATGAAATTGAAAATATGTATACAGGTATCAATTTTAGTTAAAAGTTAAAACATTAATTTTTTTCAGCAAAAAGTTTAACAAAGAATTGAAAATAGTTAAGTTTCAGACATGATTAAATTGACTCTGATTAATTATTTCAATCCAGCAGCAGTTATTTACTTAAAAGTTTTTATACAGAACCATGTGTAATCTTTGCATGCTAAGGGAAAGAACTATAAAATCATTTAACTTATGAAACATTTGGCGAAAATAAGTGATAGTGTTTATGCTATAGAAATGACAGATGATAGGAAAGTCCCTTGATAGTTGATAGTTTATATAAATTACATGTTGATATTATGTTCAGTTTGATGTCTGTGATTAGCCAGAAGATCGTGTTAACTGTGTCCATACAAATGATTACAGAAACAACAGTTACAATTAATTTATTATTCCCTCTGGTTTTACTGTGCAATATGTTTACGACCATTTATGCTTTATAGATTTTTTTCTTTTTGTCAGATGTCTACTGAATTTGATTTCCATAAAAGGAAATGACTGTTATTGATCAATCAAAAAACGATACTTCAAGTTACCCGAAATTCAAGTTAAATATTTTTCAATTCTTGAAAAATTTGATTTAAATTAGTAACTTTTTTGTCTTACTTTGATAGAAATTCTGTAAACCATTAAGCAAGGAACTGATTTTATTAAATGTGTTTGAGATAAAAAAAAAAAAAAGTTCCCCTTAATTAAAATGATTCATTAAACATTCAAATTGTTTATAAAAACTTATAATATAGCGCATGTGTTCATGTCCACAAAATCTTTCATTTGAATGTTTTACATGCAATGTCACTAATTACATTTTCAGATATAATCTGTATCATTCCCATGAGGCTTTCTTGTATAACATTGTTTTATTTATTGCTTCTGCTGCATATAAACAAATATGATTTAATATTTCTGCATTGATGCACTTTAAACGTTGAAAAGGATATGAATGTATTAAAATTTTATCAGAATTCAATTAGTATATATATGCCATAAAAATATAATTCTTAGTTTCAATCTGGAACACATATTCTATTTCCATGTTGATTTGAGAAGATAATTGTCGATTATAAAAAAACGAGGAAATTTCAGAAATTGTTAAATCATCGTTGGCATGTCATATTTCTACAAGATATCTTATTTCATATTTATGCCAGGTTTCGAAAAGTTGTTTATGAATAATTGTACAATATTTATTCCTTATATTTAATATAATTTGAAAGTATATGATTCAGAAAGATATCATGAAGGTCCACTTCGGAATGAGACCTAAATTTTGGAAATTAGTTGATTTAATCGAGTGAACAAGTAGATAAAAATAAAGTATGACATGCAAATCATGCCCATTGGTCTAACTGTCATATCACGGGATATATGTTTATATGGTAATGAAGAATTTTGTACATTGGCTTAACTACAATTGCAGTAATCTCCGCTACAATTTGTCTGAATTACAAATATATCCCTGCATACCAAATGTCCAATAAAATCTAAATAATTCATTAATTATCTTGATTATATTTTAGTGCCTTACTGTAATTTCTTAATCATAAAACCTTGAAGTTAGTTTATTACATAATCATAAATAATTAAGCAATGTAACCGATGTTATTGCTTTATTTCTTCTTATAAGAAAATATAGAATTTTTTCTTCCCTTTTAATGATTTTCACATTAATTTGTTTATGGAAATTATCCCCGGCAATATAATTATCATTGAGGTAAATATTTAATAATTTGGTGGAAGTTTTCTTTCTTGGTTTGAGATTACACAAAGGATATAATCAATAGAATTAATTGTATTTTATTTCTTTTAATGATTTGGATAGACGAAAGTCATCTCCGCTTAATAAACACAAATGATAATTATTCAGGTTAATTAAGAAACATAATCAAATGTTACTTTTATATATTTCTTTTTTATATAAAAGCATTCCCATGATAAGCCAGATGATAGCATTAATTTCTGTGTGTGTTCAGATGTAACATATAAAAACTGATCCCTATAAATTTATGATTATGTTTTATTATTTTAATACAATGATTTCCCACATCAAAAGCCTGAAGAATTCTATAATTGTTTTCCTAATTTGTATTGCTAATGGCTTCGATAGTTTATAGAAGCATACAAGTTTGTAGATATTCTAGAAAGGCTAAAAATTATATCATAACTTTATTTTTGGAAACAAATGTCTAATTTTATGTTTGGATTTGAACAAGGCCTTAAACTGGTATAGGAAAAAAAGAAAGTGAAATTGCTATGAAGTAAGGAATCCTTAAAGACAAACAAGACAGGTTTTCCACTGTTCCATATGACTAGTGACTATTTGTCATACAATAAGATACTTTTTTTGAATTTTTTGTGGATTTTTTTGCTTGATTTTTGCTACCCATTATTGTAGATACAGTTCAGTTTATTAATTGGCTTTAATTGCCTTCCATTTATTTGGGTTATTCCCCTTAGATCTAACATTGACTTGAGCTAAAGTACTTTTCCCAAAACTAAATGTGAAGATTTGGTATGAGTTATTCCCCTTCCTGTCAAGTATCAATGAACTACTGAAATGAAAAGAAGTGGCAAGATATCAATATATAATTATTTATTACTAAGTATATATATAAAGACCTGTCTATTGTTGAAGACTGTATGTGGCTTTCTAGTTGTCTTTTTTTTTATTTGTGTCACTGGGTTGCTGTCTCATTGAAGTATATACCCCTACCTCCATTCATAGCAGTATACAAACATCTTTAACATTAATGTACAGATTGGTTAGAAGTATGTTGGAACTAAAGTGACCTTAAGTAGTTAACAAATTTATGCAAACCAAATATCAAAGGAAAATTTTTCACAATATTTTTTGCAATATCTTCTTGTCACCATTGCTTATCATTGCAGCAAACCAATAATTAAGATTCAAATTCAGGCTTTTGGAATTGGCTTTCTAGAGATTTATTGCACAAGTTATCCATTTGACTCACGATGTTTTAACACTTCATCTTATGCTAGATGTTTTATTTATTCCAGGAACACCAGTCAACAGAATCCCAATCATGGCAAAGCAGACGCTTGATTTGTATGAATTATTCCGATTGGTTGTTTCAAAAGGTGGATTGGTAGAGGTTATCAACAAAAAACTCTGGAGAGAGATAACTAAGGGACTTAACCTACCATCATCTATTACCAGTGCTGCATTTACTCTAAGAACCCAGTAAGTTTCTTTACCAAGAGTTAGCTCCCCTGTCTTCATGTAAAGATGGAATGAAATAAAGATCACTAGTACGATAGTTTTAGAATTGCAAATGGAATCTGATCCTTGTTTTATAAGTTGATATTAAATCAAGCACTATAAAAGAGAGAAAGGGATATATGGGGGAATAAATATTGTTTTAACAACTTCTGTATATTGATACTAAGGCCATCTTGCTGTAAAACTTAACTTTTTTAGCCCAATGTTGAAGACCCCCCACCCACAAGTAATTGGCTAGATGAAGAACAGCAATAAAAATGTTATTCCTGTGATAAATTAGTTATATCTATGTTAAAATTTAACTTTGAAATGTTTCTCCATGTTCATCCACCTATTCCACCTGACAATTAATACATTTATATTTGGATAAGGATATTTTATAAAAAATTTAAAGAAATAATTAATTATCTAGCAAATTTATGCAAAATTCCTCTAACAATTAGAAGAAATTTGATATGTTTAAAAATGATTTTTCTATGTTTAGGTACATGAAATACTTATATCCATATGAATGTGAGAAATTAAAGTTGAGTTCCCCACAAGAACTTCAGGCAGCCATTGACGGTAACAGAAGAGAGGGTAGGCGTTCTAGTTATGGTTATGATCTCTCTCCCGGTCCTACACTTATACCTACAGCACATCACCCAGCACTTAATGGTGGTCTAATGAATGGAAAGTTTGGACCAGGGTCATCTGGTGAGTAATTCATAGTCACGTACACTGGTCTTAAGAGTCCAGGAACTACTAGGTCTCTTCTACTGTGGATTCATTTATTTTCATGGGTACCAATTTTCATAGATTGAGGAAAACTTGCATTTTTTCATGGATATTCGATTTCGTGGTTTTGTCAAGTCTGCACACAAGCCTATAGAAAATTTGTAATTTGTTAAACACTTAAATTCTTGGTTCACCTGTATCAACGAAATCCATGAAAATTGTATTCCACGAATAAAAATGAATTCACAGTATTTGTGTTTCCTGTATCATATTTTAAAATACTGTAAAGCGGTTAATTTTCGTATAGTCTAAATTTCACTATTTTTAGAGCCAACCCTATTTTTAATGTTTTGTCTTTGCATTTTTCTTGTTCTTGTCAGTGATCCTCCTACTTCACCAAATTTATGTGAAGGATTATATTTTATTCACTGAATTAGCGAAAATTTCCCACTTTTCAATATTTGTTGGGTTTTTTTGCACAAATATTTGCTGAAGAAATTTTGATAAATATATGATAAAATTGTTGATGTTAGGTCAGAAAATGACTATGAGAAATTAACACAAGCAGTCTTTACATGCACAAGTGTGGGATGTGGTTTTATTCAAACTTTGATACATTTTTGGACATGCTTGGTTTAATGCATTAAGCAGTTATTTAATAATGGTGGTTAATCTACACATTTCTTAAAATGTATAAGTGAATGAATTTTATGTTATGGAAATGTACAATGGTGTTATTTTTTCTATGAAATAAACGGATATAGATCTCTCCTTCATTTATATATTCTGAAATAGTCACTGCAGTATTTCACAAATTTGTTTAAATGAAATATTGTTTAATTTAAGAATGTCCTTTAAAGAATTGACACTATAGACTTCAAATATTAGTTATATCATTTTCACACAAAATGTTGTCTATAGTTATATCAGATATATTCATTCATTTTTTTTTTCGAAAAGTTTGGTTGGTTTGAAAATATCACACTTACTAAAGTCATATGTATTTGTAGATTGAATGAGAAATATATCATTTGATATTTGCTCATGATAGAATTTATTTTAAGTTTCTTATAACTGACCAATACTAAAGGAAATCAGTAATTCATCAAAAATATTCATTAAATATTGTAAACAGTTTTGTATTTTAAAAATTAAGATAAATGTCAAGTTCCATAAGCAATGCTGTAATGCAAGCTTTATATTGTTCCATTCAGATCATCGCACACCACTCACTAGTTTACAAAGAATTTGGCAAGCTCAACAGATAGGTAAGCATGCAGTGTCTTATAAAAAAAAGTTAACACAGAAACAAGATCCTAAATGACAAATAGCCAAGTAAAGTCTGTGAAAAATTGTTAAAATACGGGTTTTTAGATGCAAATAATGTGGATTCATTATAATTCGTGGATACCTATTTTCATGGATTTCGTGGATGAAGATAAACCATGAATTTAAATGTTCAAAACCACCAAATAAAATATCCACGAAAATACATTTTTTCCTAAATCCAGGAAAATTGGAACCCACAAAAATAAATGAATCTACAGTAAGCTTATAGTTTAATGCTACTTGTCATAAAGTTTCAACTGTTTATTGTGTAAACTTTACAGGCTACATATATATATATATATATTCATAGAATATTTGCTTTTTATTACTGATTTCCTTGTTAAAAATCATAAATTAAAAATCGGACTACAGATTTCAAAGTCTATCCACAAAATTGTTTTAGTTAAATTCAGATATCTGCAGTCTTATTTTTAACTTGTGATTTTGAAAAAAGCTTGACTTTTAAATGTGCTTATTATATTTTGTCTGTGGTACTTAGCTTTGCTTTTAACACTATATTTCTTATTCCTTTGTAGATCGTCAGTCACCTTTAACCAGTTTACAAAGACTTTGGCAAATTCAAGCTCAGCAACTAGGTTAGCATCTAATATTACAATTAGCAATTGTTGTGTATGAAATTAATTAATTTTAGCAGTTTTTTTTTTATTATAAAACATGAAAACATGCTTCCAAAAACGGGATGGAAAAGCTTTTGTATACAGACAAGTTTTAATAACTTGCTATTTGAGAATATTTTATCTAATTTCTACGGCTATATTAAAAGATGTGTCATTTGTAAACTAAATTGATCAATATATGATTTAATTAAACAGTACTGCTTGAAAAAAAGAGATGAAGAATTTTTGTTTACAGACAAGTTTATAAAACTGGCTTTTAAAGAATTGTGTGCCACATCTCTTTTGCTATATTAAAAGATGTGTCAAGAGTTTACTAAATTTAAAAAAATATATATATATAAATTAATTAAACTAAACTTGAAACTTAATCACCATAGATTGGTCAAAGTATGTTTTCTTTTTAAACTTTGGTACACTGGCCTTTAACCACATTGTGGGGATGCATGCAAAGTTTAAAATGAAATAGAAAGTGACATGTTTCGTGATGAAAGTCCACCTCTATGATTTTGGTGTCTGCCAAATAAAATATGCGATTAATTACATGATTTGATCGAAAAGTCACTAGGTACAAAAGTTGATCGCAGCTAGTTAATTTGCTCATAGCATGATCATAGAACATCATTCAAACCTTTTCCCGTACTTATCTTTTGCCAAATCTTATTTCTGTTAATTGTACAGAATTATATATATCAATGACTGTGAATTGAAATTAAAAAGCAAGACAAATTATGACCATGATTAAATATCGTCAAATGATAATGATATATTTATAAACCCAAATGATGAATTGAAGAGTTCAGGATGAGAGTTTATAATTCAAGAAATTATTTAAATACTGTAATTTTATCTGCTCTTCTCCTTCTTAACACTCTCAATTACCGGTAGTCCAAGTCAAACAAAAGGTTAATAACATTGATCGAGTTACATTGCTGGCTGGTGTGTTTAATACGTTCACGCTCATAATATTTATGAGTTTAATACTTTAATCATGAACACAGTCAATTGGAGAAATGTTAAATAAATCCCTCACATAGTACAAACAACCATTGATAATTGCACCTCCTATCAAAACCATAGGGACACGATGTCTAGCTGGGAGTCAACTTTAAAAAATAGGCCATGTTTGACCCTTAGTCGGTTCATTTCATATCTATTGTTTGATAATAACTTGATATCGTGTTAAGGGCTTTGAAAACCATTTATCACATAGCGCTTGAAGAGGCAAACATTTGTTCGGAAAATGATACAATAAAATAGAGCTCCCGAAACATCCTTTGTGAACAAAAGAACATTAAATCGATCACTGATAAGACTGATGTAATTTATCAATAGCAGAAGTTAATTTCTGTACTTCATTTTATATAGATGATTTATATTAGGAGCGTTGGTAAAAACCGTACTTATTGTTTTCAGATTTAAAATTGTTACAAAATATACACAAATAGTTACATGAAGAAAAGATTTCATTTACAGAATTATTTTCTGATCCTCGACTTTGATTAAATCTGTGAAAAATTTAAAGTTTGAAAAAAACCACAAATTAAATTTTATGGTGTGTCTTATGTTTTTTTTATTGTTGAATTCTATTGATTGTAATCTGGATTCATGAAACTCATCCTTCCTATCAAACACATATAATAAAGATCATTTAGCTAATTTTTCCTCAAAATTTCCTTATCATTTAGCTACAAATTTGACATGTTTTTATTGTCTCTTTTCTTAATGTCCTATTTCATAGAATCCAAAACAAAGAAAACAGATTTTCACAATTAACGGAAGTTGAAAACTGTAAAAAACATGAAACTAGTACAACGAATTGATTGATGATATGTACAAAAATCTTAGGATTTTTTTTTTTCCTGTATGAAATTGTCTTTCTTAAATGTATCCTGAACTAAATATAAACTTTATTTAGATTTAATTTTTATTGTATCCTGAACTAAATACAGCAAAGTGAACAGCTTGGTACCAGCAAAATCTCATTATTAAACTGCTTCACTTAATTCACTTTTATTTGATATAACAAAGAATTGATTCTTGGTGCTTGGTACAAACTATTGAAGATGGTTTGATGTAGTTTTTATTCTTTTAATAAGAAATTAGATGAAATATTGAATAAAATCACCTAGTACATTTCTCTCCAAACAAAAATTCCCATTTTTCATCAAATTTTTAATTTCCGTTACTTTGCTTCTGTTGTACGTAGTCAACCTAACTTTCACTGTATATTCATATGGTTATCAAAATTTACAATTTAAAAAAATAAGACATTGTCTTTGATTTAATAAATGATAAGGGAACATTTTTTTTTATATATATATTTTCCTTACTATTTCTTAAAATGTTCATATATTGTTTCCAGTTGTTTAAAAGCCTCACCAAACATTGAAAAATCTACATTAACCTTCTGAGAATTTCATTTATTTCATAATGTTTATTTTTAGCAGCTGGCGAGGAAGAAGATAGTATTCCACCAGCACATCCACATCATAGAGCTCTAGCAGAACATTTTACAGAGCGTGATGCTATTGCCATGGAAGCAGCCTCACGGGTAATGGAACATGCGACAAGGAAAATGGAAGAGGCATCACGGGCAGCAGCAATGGTAGCCGAAGAACCACCTCGTAAAAGATTATTGACTACAGAAGAAGAACGTCTCATCTCACATGTGGGCATGCCCAGTACACATATAAAAATAACAAGTAGGAGTAAGTTCCTAACTTTGGACCAATCTTAGTTTGTTGGGGGTTTTAAACAGCAGGAGTTATTAAATTTTTTAGAAAATTTTCATGCAACCTGTTAATTCTATGTAGATTTTTACAGGAGCTGTACAAAAAATGATTGTAATGATAATTCAACCTGTCACACATGAGCATTTTTTAATACATCAGAGGGGTGTAAGGACCTCTTTTGGGACGTCGGAATTGGGCCTTGATATTTGCGGGAATTTGGGATTTACAATTAATGGGAAGGGGGAATTAATGATTTAATTTTCAGGATCCTGGAATGAATGTGATATTTTTTCGGCAGACCTTGGAAAAATTAATTCTTTATCTTTTTAGGAAATTCAGGATAACATCATCTCCTACCCCACACACAACAGCTGCTATTGTTATATTGATTGATTGGTGTTTAACGCCACTTTCAGCGCTATTGTGCTATTTCGTGGCAATCAGTTTTTATAAATGTTCTGTTAGAATCTGAATAGAGTGCTATACTTGTAAGAAAACTGGTACATAGATCAAATTTTCCTGCTGTATGTTAATGAAAACAAAACAATAATGGAGATGCTATTTGGGTTCAACTAATACTTGAAAATGTTATTATAACACAGTCCTGCACATATCAGTTGGTTATTATAATGCAGTACATTGTACTGCACACATTTGTTATTTGATACAATCCTGCACATATTGATTGATGTTGTATATTTATGATAATGTACATGTATATTTGAATTTTCATGGAAATTAGCCTAGGATGGCCTTATTAGCACTTATTTGTTCAAATTACCAATAGTTGAACTCATTTCGTACTGTAATTTATAAAAAAGAAGGAAATATATCGTATTGCAGTATGGATTAAATATCACAACTGAAAAGCACACAATTAAATGTTTGATAATAAAAAAAGGTTGGATCTTGTACATGTGAGGACATTTGTGTTTGAAGTTTTAAAATGAGATTAGTATAAAAGTGAACAATTTTGTTATATCATGTGAGAAAATTACAATTTTCCAAAGTATTTCATAATATTAGAATTTGATCTTTTTGATGTTTGTCTAAATGTTGGTATTCATCGAACACTAAAAAGACAATAAAAACAAAATCTCATTATACTTTAATGAAAATATTAGAACATCATGCAAAACAGGAGTCTGTCTCTGACTTCTCTATTGGATGTATAAAAATGAGATCAAACGTAATGCATTAATGTCCTGTGTCACTGTAAAGGGGGTGTGTCACTGCGGTAAAAATGTTATGATAAAAAAGTCACTTTAACTATCCTGAATGGATCCAAGATGATTTTTGACAAGTGAATTACCTTTTTGATGTCTCGTTTGCTATTCAGATCTAATTGATACATTTAATATAACGGTGAATTAAACTGGGGCCAGCTTTTAGGGTACTGGTCTTTGATCATTAAAATCGGAGACAATTTTCATGCCTCTTTAACTGCTTATTTCATATTTCTTAATTTTATAGCTTCTGACTGGAGATTGAAAATATTAAAAGATTTCAATTTATTATTTTTGAATAAATTAATGTATTTATAAAATTATTGAAATATTTCTTAAAAGAGCATAAAAATACTGGATGTAATCAAATTACCATGGTTCTTGACTCTACTGAATACTAAATTCTGTAATATTACAAGGAACAGTGTATAAATTTTTTGATGCTCCCCTCAAACAAAGTCTTCAAAGAGTAGAGTCTATTTAGAACCATTTAATGTTTAAGACTTTATTACTCTTAAACATGATTCTGTCAAATTGGAGAAATATTTCATGTTAAATTGATTTTTAATCTGACAAGGCTTATTAACTGAATGTTATATTTTCCACAATAAAATTTATAAGAAAACATTTACTCTCTGTGTCTAGTAATGACAAAGTAATATGGTTACTCCATAGAAAGAGATCCAATATTCCCTAAATGATTTTAGTGCAAGTCCATTTATTTCTAATTTATATATAGTACATTAAACCATATTAGGATTATATATCTTTGTAGGTAAAATAATTTTCCGATTTCACATCGGTCTGGTTTGATCTGCTTTTATTATTAAGGGTAGAAAATGACTAATACTAACGGGTATTTTTTAATGTGACCTGAACTTTTACTGAGATGCAAAGTACTGCAAATCTTGTAGTTCAAATTGATTTTATTAATATTTATATGAGAACTTTTTTCACACTCCCTTTCAAGTTTCAATACCCCTGACCATTGAAAAAACGTTGACAATATCAGATATCACCATTAAAATTATTTAATACTTTAGTATTCTGTTCAAGATTTTCAAAAAAATGTTAGCAAAAACTAAGGGTTACATAATTTTAATCATAAAACCAATTACTCTGCATATTTCTGTCTTTCACTGGAAGCATTAAAATATATTATTTAAATTTTGATAACATACTTTTTTTTCTGAAGAATATTGAAATTAAAAAAATTGATTAAAATAATTTCAATTTGATCACATGGACGAGTTTTGAAAAAAGCCATTTTCATAATAGCATTAAGGATGAAAGGAAAACATAAGATGACAAAAAGTGCATATTTACAAAATTTTGCTGCCAACTTACTGATTTAATATCATTATAATGTGGAGACAGAAATTGCCTTATTACAAGGCACACTTTTCTCTTTTATCAAAATTTTTACTATCATAGAATATTGTAATATATCAATTTGTCAGCTAGTGTAATTTATTAATATATTTGTAAATGGGACCTAAATGAGATGATTCTTTAAGAGTAAAATTCAGAGATAACTTTTGTAAATTGAAGAATATTATTCATTGAAAGATTGATCAAAAATATTTTTAAAAATGACATAGTAATAGACTCGTTTGATGATGGAAAATTGAAAAATTTTATTGATGAAATTTACCTTATAGACTTTTGAACTGATAATGCATTATAAAAAAATCAATTTGTTACAATATTAAAACATCTTCAGAAATTACCAATTATATATGTGATACAAATGGATTTCTCAAATGTACCATAAAATTTTTCGGAAGTTGTGTAAGTTTGTGACATCTAGTACAAATGTACAAGAAACACCGAAACATTTGAAGACATAATTGAATATTTAATTGGTAACGCATACATTAATATCAAACATTTTATATCAAAATTACAGATTTAATCTGAAACTGAACTGCTTTACCTTTAGAATAGCTTTTAAATATTGTTTTGATAAAATATCTCTTGCATCACAATATGCATTGATATGTTGAATGTTTTAATATAAAGAAATCTGTCTCTAAAATGGGTTTTAGTTCAATCACATGTTCATGTATAACCACGTTAAAAGTAGGATAATTAAAGGGGTTCAAATTATTAAACATCTGTCTTATTATTTGTTGATTCAAGTAAAAATATCAGTAAGGTTCATAGAATTCAGCTTAAATCAATAACTGCTTTATATCATTAAGCTCAACAAAGATGTCAGTAAAGATTCTAGATGAAAGTTATTTTACCAGTTAAAAAACAAAGTCAAATATTGATAACAATTCCTCCATGGCATTCGTGTTGTCTCACATGCATGTAATATCTTCTGCTTTCCAAACATTCATGAACTGTAGGGAACACAGTACTTTAGGGTAACATTTAAGTTTAGGTTTGCATTAGGTCAAGGTTAGGGCTAGTGTCAGGGTCAGGTAAAGGTTTGAGTTAGGCTAAAGGTTACATTAGGTTCAGTATAGCCCTATAAAGGGTTGGGTCCTCTAAAGGAAATGAAGGTGAAGAAAAAAGACCTTTACTATAGCTATATTACACTATTTCTGGATAGTTAGAATATATTTGACTAATATCTCATGCATTATCTAATGTGGTTTTACCATTAAAACGTTTAATACCCGCTGCGATGGTTTGCACCTGTCCTAAGTCAGGAATCTGATGTTCAGTAGTTGTTGTTTGTTGATGTGGTTCATAAGTGTTTCTCGTTTCTCGTTTTTGATATAGATTAGAACGTTGGTTTTCCCGTTTGTATGGTTTTACACTAGTAATTTTTGGGGCCCTTTATAGCTTGCTGTTCGGTGTGAGCCAAGACACCGTGTTGAAGACCATACTTTTGACCTATAATGGTTTACTTATAAATTTTGACTTGGATGGAGAGTTGTCTCATTGGCACTAATACCACATCTTCTTATATCTATTAACCACATTTTTAAATAAAAAATATTAACATCTGATTCAGTGATTTCAGATGCTTATGATACAATCAGCAACCTTTTCACATATTTCATGTTAATTTCTCACCCTAGTCATATATTATGAAGCTTGAAAAAGTGACCTATTCCTGCTCCTCATCCTTGCCACTCAGTTGTACTTTGTCAGTACATAGTAAGTGTCCTCCTCCTGTGTCAAAACTTATGCTTTCCAGACATTCCTGCAACTTTCAGGATGAAGAATAGCAATTAAAGCGTTGTCCTTTGATATTCTAGTTATTGTCAAGGGTTTTCCTGTGCTATATCTTTTACCTGATGTACTTTCTTAAACAGATGTTCATGACCAATTTGGCATTCAAGTCTTTGATTTGTTTACCAACAATTTGAAATTTAGATTGATAAAAAGTTAAACCAACTAATGAATATGTAAATTAGCTATCATACTTAATTTAATGAGAATGTTGGAGTCACTATGATGTAATTAACTACAATAACTTTGATATATTTTTATTTATTCAAATTTTACAACATATTCTGTTTATTTTTCAGATGATGGTAGATCAGACATAGATAATTCATTGGTAGTCAGCATGGAAATAAATGGCATCATGTATCAAGGAGTTTTATTTGCCCATAATCCTCGGCGGCTGTAACTTAGCAACATGAACAACCATTTTATTTTAAAATGACCAATCATTTACCTTGCCATGACAAGATTTTTCAATTAGATCTGATTGACATTTGTCCTGACCAATCAAAATCAAATATAGACTTGCCATGACAATATTATTCACTGATGATGATTGGTTGACATGCAGGTCACATGATCTGACTTATTATGATTTATGGGGCCAACCAATATGACCCAAGAAAAACTTGAATGGAGCTGACCATGACTCAGAATTGTAAAGACAGAGGTCTGATAAATCAAACCACTGCCAGTTATATCTTGAATCAAGATAAGAAGCAGAAATTGACTGTTTGATAGTTTTTGAAATTTGAATGTTTTTTAAAATATGAATACCTGTATGTGAGGAAAAAGGAAAAGCTGTAGAAATAGTGCCATTTTTTATTTTACAAATTTTGCTCTGTTATCTTAATTCACTCACATGTTTGTTTCACATAAAATTTTTTTTTAAATATTTATATGTCGGAGTTGTTGACTTGATATACTGTCTGTGTAAAATTCATGCAATAATTTAACATTTCTGAAAGATATGAAAGTGATGAATGAAATAAAATGTCTGATGTAAAATATGAGGACCAAGTTGTAGTGTTAGGAGGGTGTGTGTTGTACGAGATATGTGTGTGAATTGTGTCATGTGACACTGGAGATGACTCAAGATAGCTTTGGCTTTTTTCAAACAAATTGATGTGTAAAATGCAAAGAAATAAGTATTATCATTTCATGTCAATGAAAATGACAATTTGTTTTTGCTTATACACAAAATTAATATGTTTTTTAATGTTCATATAGGGGCAAGGTTTACAGGGTTTGGGATTTAGTTGCCATATAGCTTATGTGGGAGGGTTTATAAGTATTAGATTTAGAGATTTATGTGTTCAGAATATTAGTAATCTTGTGCTCAAATGTTGCAATATTTATTTCTGTTGTATCGTACAATACTCATTATATGCATATTTCAACACAAATATTGATAAAGTAAAAGATTTCCGTATACCATAAAAAATATGATATGATTTCCTTGTGAACAACACATGATTGTGAATAAACATCATCAGAATAAATGAAATTTATTCATGTGTATACTATTTCACTTCATATTTCAAAGTCCATGAACATCAAGAGGGAAGTGAAAACTAAAAGCTCCAATTTTTATAATTCTGTATAACTTATATATTATAAAGAGCAAAAAAACATTGATACAGTATTTATATTTTGTGTCAACATGGTATTTTTCCCCTACATTTATTTCAAAACTGCAGTTATTATATATACTCTTTTGGTAAGAGTTAAATAAATTAAGTCGATTATCTTTATTTGGTGGTACCTTGGATTAAAAATTTTAAATTATTGAACTGCATCTTAATATTGCAAAAATGATATATATGTTACATTTCTGCTTCCAATGATATAATCAATTAAAAATTTATGGAATTGATTTATAAATGTATAGAATGCACATAAAAGTGTAATAAAAAGGAATTTTGTTCACCTAAATTTAGATAGTTAACTAATAGATAAATACATAAATAGTTCTAACACCAATGTATATTTTGTTTTTCTCTTTCAATGTTTTAAAAGTCCTAATTATTATAATAATAATTATAATATAATTTTTCTTTGAACCATGTCTTTGTTTACACTGTTTTAAATTACACTTTCTTTTAACTTGTTTTAAAGTGCAATGATATAATTTCAACTGGAAGAAAAAAGGAAGATACCAATAGTGCTATTTAATTCTTTATACCTTTTCCTTTTATTTCTCAAAGAATGATTTGATCAATGTTATTGCATTTATCAGATGTTGAGTTTTGTTAATTTGATATTCTGTTTCATAAACAGCTGTGCAAGAGTCTTGCCCAGGATAGTCTTGTAGGTTTTTTTTTAATTTTAATTGGTGGAAAAGTATTTCTTTTAGAGTAGCAATGACACTGTCAGATTACTTTTTACTTTGCTGACAAGAACATGTAAATCTTCAGAGTAAAGAATACTGTACACTTTATAGACATATGTATTCTAAATCTAGGAATTCACAACCGATAAACCTATATTATAAACCAAGGAATTTAAAATGAAATGATCTATATTTGTAAACCAGTTCATTTTATAATTGAGTAATATTACTAAAAGCAAATATTTTTATATCAATACTTTGCTTATCATGTTACATTTTCACAGTAATTTCTGGAAATAATGGCATATAATTGCATGTCGTTTTTCTTTGGTTACCACAACAGGTAGAGTCAATACATAGCCACTCTTACCACAAAACATAGCATAGGTTAAGCATAAATGACTTCTGGATTAACCCATAGTCTTATGTTACCTCAGTAGATGCAGTAAACTGTTTTTCATTCAAAAGCAATTATATTATATTCAAGCTACTATAAAGTAGCTGATGATGAGTACTTTGTATTTTTAATTGTTGTCTGTATTTTAAGTGATAGTCCCATTTTGTAATAACAATACCTCATAAGTAAATGTACATATCTATAACAAAACTGAGGTGTTTATATATGATTCAAGACTATTGAAAGTGCATAATATTTTTTGTTTTGTGATCTTTATGTTTATTATTAAAATGTCATTTTATTACAGAATAAATTATCTTTAAAACTTGTTATGTGCCACATACTTTTTACTGACTTGTGGCAACATAAGATACTTGAGTGGTTTCAAGGATATGCAGAATTTGTTTGAAATTTAGTGGATCACTCGAAACTGGGTTCAATAATTATTAAATCAGACAATAGTATAATCATACAAAAAGTACACATCGAAAGTCATAAGTTGAACCTCTATATATCCATTGTGAGATATATTTATGCAAGTAAATTTCAGAAATTGCTATTTAAACTCTTCAAAGATAAGGGGGAAACGGGGAAATTTATCTATTGAGAAGTACTTTCAAAATCCATAACCATTCCTCTCCGTCATGATGTTGACATACTTAGAGAAGCCCAATTCACTTATTTATTTTGCATATTAGTGTCACGTAAACTGAAAAAGGATACTACAGAGATTATCCATTTCATACTTAAATGTATTACTGATTTTGATATGAATAACTGATTGGGAATTTAAAACTATTTGAAGTTGAGTTTGCCAGCCAGGTTTCCGGTATTTCTTTTTAAATTCAGTATTGCTCGATGTTTTTGTATGCAGCCAATTCAAAACTAAACTTTGTTCCCTAATTATCTTAGTTTGTTGGTGAAAAATGTCCAAGAAAAATGTGTTATTTAAACTGGTGTGACGTTGAATATGAAGGTAGTCGACTGCTGTCAAATCAACATCATAAGTCTATCAGTCAAAATACGGAATGAACACAATCAGAATCACATGACTCGAAAAGAAGCAAAACTAGTTATGTTCAATTAGTGAGGATCTTCTCGTATTCATCATGCATCTCCCGTCAAATGATTCAATTTACAGTTGCAAGTGTCAAAAGACATGGAATTGTACAACCAGTTTGTCCAGTAATAATGTCACACGGATAAAAACATCTTGGACCAAAGAAAGCACAAATTAAAGTTTCTAGTAAATTGAAACACTTTAACAATCAACAAATTTCTTAATAACGACCTTGGAACTTGCAATGTTGATGTTAATGAAATGCCCACAACGAGACTTTGCTCTTGCATATTGTATTAACTGATGGAGGCAGAGGTCATAACTATTGTGTAGATGGTATGTCACTACTCAAGAGGGCGAAGTTAAAAAAAAAAGGAAAACAGAAATCGTCGATGCGTTCAAAAAGTTAGTATTTTTTAGTATTACTCATTGTCTAAAGGTGATGATAAAATGCTGTCCTTCTTAAGTCTGGTATCTTTAATCTCAACGACGTGATAAGCAAGTACTTGTTAAAAAATGATTATTAATATAAATACATTACCAATACACCGGATAGTGAAGACAAATGGTTTTGCTTAAATTTGTTTTGTCATTACTGTAACTTGACTGTAAATGTTGCTCTCCACCTATTGCAGTTTATGAAAAAATCTGACCAAATTGCAAATTATTTTATCAAACCAAACTGTTCAACTGGTCAGAAAACTGCTGTAAGATGACTAAATAAAGCATACTATAATATAAATCAGTCTAACAATTTCTATACAAATTTTATTGTAATTGTCGTGCAAAAGGTGAAAGGTAGTAATTTTTGAATTGCTAAAAAAATGTCAAAATTTTAGTTTTTGAATTGTTTTAATAAAATGGTGTTTTTCTATGCATGCTACAAAGCTTTCTTTGAATTAATCTCTAAAATACTTGGTGAAATATACTTGAAGCTTAAATATATTCTCTTGACGTTTTAAAGGGAAATTTGATCAGTATTTCAAAAGACCAATGCTTTTAGATTATCTCCCATAGAAACTTATTAGCAACGTATTGTAATTTCACATATATTTTACTGAATATAAGATGTTTTAATTCAAATTATGTCTGATTCGTATGAATAAAGAAGACCTTTCGAAAAAAAAAATTGTATGGAAGCCTAGTTTGAACTTTTTTAAAGCAATTCACAAATTACTACCTATCACCTTTAGCATGACAATTACAATAAAATTTGTATAGAAATTGTTAGACTGATTTTTTCATAATATCAATGAAATGGAATTAAGGTCTTATAGGATTGTAAGTATACTTTGATTTACCACCTTGCACTTTCACCCCTTGACTGTTTTTCTACAGCAGTTTTTAAAATTTCTGACCAATTGAATATTTTGGTTTGATAAAATAAATTGAAATTTGGTCACAATTTTAAATAAATTGTAATAGGTGGAGAGCAACACTTACAGTCAAGCCACAGTAAGCGGGTTTGGGTAAGGAGGCCGAACATATTAGTACCCACTGTCTGTAGAAATATCACACTTTTTTGAAAAAATCTAATTTGTTTTAGAACAGTGTTATTTTTTGCTTCGTTGTATTTGCATAGCAAATGTAGGGTTCTTCGATTGCAAAGCACAATTTTTCTGACCTACACAACTACTAATGAGTCAAGTATCAGAGTTCATTCTAAATGGGCCTTTCTGTTGTATTAGGAGATAAAGGAGGGTCTGGATGGGGGCTTACAGAATAGAGAATAAAGGGCTAAACATATAAAGAAAAGAGAAAAATAAAAAAAAACATAAAGAATAGAGAAAAATGGACAAAAACATAAAGAATAGAGAATAATGGGGTGCTAAAATATAAAGAATAGAGAATAATGGGCAAAAAATATAAAGAATAGAGAATAATGGGCAAAAATATAAAGAATAGAGCAAAATGGCCTAAAAATTTAAGAATACAGAAATTATACGAATTGGTATCTGACTGACACGTCATTACAATATTTTTACGGTTTTTCTAAATATAGTGAGACAGTTTGTAAGAGATTTGAAGAGGAGTTTGAAAACAGCGGCATCAAGGTACGTTGCAGTCTTTTGACCTTTAATTGTTAACATTCTCGTTCTTTGAATTCTGGTGGATGGTTGTCTAAATGACAATCATCCCACATCTCCAAGAGATATACCTTTTTTATATGTATAAGAACTTTTGACTGGCTTTCACAAACGGCTACAAATAGAACGTTGTTACCAGGGAGACATCAAAATCCTTAAATCAAAGTAAGGAAGACAGAATGATCTCATTGAAAAAATAACATTGTCGTAAAGTTGGTCTCAGTCGTCAATTTCTTGATATAATAATACATAAAAATGGGAAGTAAGGAATTACCTTAAATGTGGGTCAGTACAACAGACCAAATAACAACCCGACTGCTCCGAAAATAGACAAACAGCAATGGGAACCACATTGTCAAGATAGCCTTATTTGCTAAAGAAACAAAATGTCGTTGAGTTCCCTCAGTTTTTGTTTGTTACCTTGATTTGTCTCTTCCTAATCGATTCATGAGATCTGAACATTGGTAAACTACTGTCGCCTTAATTTACTTTATTTGAAAAAAATGCAGGTTTTATAGGTCTAGGGTTATGTGGGACAAATTATATCGTCAAATGAAAAGCTGTAAACATTAGGTAGTTTAAGAAAAGAAAAAAACACCTGCAGGCTGCAAGCTGTTATATGGCTTACAAGGTTGGTGTGCAGAATGTTACTATGAAGGTAAATATTCATTTTCAAATTATGTAATGCATGATGTTACTAATCAATTCTTTTTGTTTTTGACTTTCTTTATTATTATCTTGTATGAATTGTATTTGGACATACTTCTGATTCGTCTGGTTTGTTTAAAACTTCAATAAGAGTTTCAGTCCTAATGTGCAAAAGAAATTATTTGTGGTAAGTTTTAAAAACAAATTTGGTGTCTGATCAATTCATAAATCATTGTTTTAAGAGTTATGCAATTAACTTAAACACTTCCTTAAAAAATAGACAACAGTTCAATTACATTGATAAATTAAAAGAGAACGTTGATAATGTTATGGTCATGGATGTTTTGATCGTCTAAACCTTAAGAGATAAAATGTTTCTATTGTTTAAACATTTGCTTTTTGTACATTTTAGCTTCGTCGAACATCAGTATGCATGGTTAGTTATACTTTTCCCTCGAATATGTAATATTGCTATTGCAAAATGTTCTTAAATAGTTGCACTGAAGTAGTTCTATAAAACTGAATGTACATTCATATTAGATAAAGTACTCAAAAATAGATTGTTACAGATATTAAACAACTAGGACATGAAAAAAATAATTAAAAGATACCACAAAAAATAGAAATAATTGAAGATTCTGCAGTAATGAATTTTTTATAAGAAAGAGTTACGGCACCAATCCTTGGATGCACCTTTAAATACATTTCATAAATACAATTCTGATGCCTACTTTATCAGTAGATAATGTTCATGGCGTGTTAATGGTTACTTTTATTTGTTTATTAATGATTGAAAATCATCAGCTTGCTACGTATTATAAATTTTAGTCATTCATTCCTTTCATGAAATGATCATACTAATTTTCATTTTACTTTTTAATTCCAACTGCCTTTGTTGTTTGAAGGCCTTCAATTAGTTTTCGATTATTAACCTTAATACACCTGACGAATGAAATGATCAGATTTAAAAAGGGAAAAATACTTTTGTGAAAGCAAAAATATTTATTGAATAGATAGTATAGATGACTTTTTGCGCAAAAATGTTAAAATTTTACATGAATTGACAAAATTTATATGTCCAAGGGTATATTTTTTTAAGAGCAAAGAAAATATATTGCATTGGACATGTTCAAAATTTTTGCAGAGTGTCATCATATTATTACAATATTTTAATTACAACCATTTGTCAGAGGCAAATAGGTTTTTACATAAACAATTACCCCATCTAATGAACGCTATTGTAATTATCAGTAAATTAAGAAAAATTTCATTAGATATATAGCAGTTCAGTTGACAAACACTAATTTTGATCATTGAGAAGCTTAATATTTCCTTAACATTTGAACTTGATTAAAACGTTCAACTGATTTTTACAGAGTTATCTCCCTGTTGTGTACCACCTTAAAAGGGAAACTAAAAAAATAAAGACAACAAAATCAATTTTTAGTTCTAAAACTCGGAGGGTTTTGAAGCATGCTTATTTACAGATATAAGTAAAATAATACCACATAATTCAGTTGTAAGAATGCTCGC